TTTTTTACGATATAGAATTACTTGGATGCTTTGGCTGCTTTGGTACCTCGGTTACAATCCCAAATGTGCCATTTCTCACTTTTGTTCTCTTAGTGAGTTTTTTTTCTTCCTTTCAGACCTATTTGCACTGAGAATTCCTTTGTGAGAGGATTACTTTAGTGAAAATAGTATTTTACACTGATATAATGACAATATTTTAAAAATATTTTTCAGGAAAAGAGTAAAACTGAAACCCATGGTGCTCACTTTCTAGGAACAGTAGGTACCCCTGGCTGATAAGGACCTTGGCTAAGGTCCACAGGTAATATTATAGACCCAGACTCTATATAAATGCTTTGCACATCACGAAGTTTTAGAAGTAAGACTTTTAGTTAGACCTGTTTTAGACTTAGATTTTCCTGTGTATCTGACAAAGTTTGTTGACATACTGTGGAATTTTTTGTGCTAATCTTGGGCAAAGAAGTTAAACTTGAGATGAACATTTACAATTTTTACATACCTGACCTAACGGAACATAGCAAAATATTTGTGTGACTTTTGACAAATTCAAATCTACCTCCAGGCCAATATAGCTATGAACAAAGCCAAAAATGTTCAAGTAGATTAGTTCTGTATTGAGATTAGGTGTTCATTAGGGCTCTTGCAAAATTACTGTGATGGGGAAGCAAAGAGGAGAATTTGGAGCAGGTCCTTCCGGTATTTTTCCTGTCTTTTCAGAGAGAGGAAGAGAAAGAAGGGGGAGGAGGGAAGAAGTATTCTAGAGGGTGTTGTTCCTTAAGTGCTTTGTCTGGAGATACTATGTTTAAAGTGTTTGTATTCAAGGAAGGAAGAGAGGAGACATAAATATCAGCACATTTAAATAGCTATTCCCCAAAGATTCTTTGTTTTAATACAGTGGGTTTATCAGTTCAATGGGCTATGATTTTTCATTTCATTCATCGCTTATACTGTGGAAGTTTCTGAAATGCTTCATTTAATTGTACTAAAGGCATTAGTCATGATTTTCTAGTTAAAGTTGTAGGAGGCTTTCATTTTGAAACAGCATTATAACTTTCAAAATAATTCCTTTTAAGCTGATGTTTAGTGTCAATCCAGGTGTGACTCGTGTAGCGAAGCTGGAGAAAATCACCTTAGCCATTTCTACTTTACAGGAGTCTGACAAGGGTTTTCTTTTTTAAAAAAGACAGTTTCTCATAGCTCTGAAATCAAGCCCCCACACATTTTAGTTGAAGGTATCTGTTAGCTTACCTCAAGCAACAACAAAAAAACCCAGTTATGCAGCTAAAGCAGCAACCTTGGCTTGTGATGACGCAGCGATCAAGGTCTATAGGCTTATTTTGTGGTTCTAGGCAGACCGCTTAAGCTGCATCTGAAGTGACAGCCTGGAACGCTCAGGGCAAACCCTGATATTCAGGTCCCCTGATCACCCGGAGCAGAGCTCTCTGCAGCTCCCTGCGTGTTTAGGCATTCTCCTGCAAAAAGCAAGGGATGCAGGAGGCCTGGGTCTATGCCGACACGGTGCTGCGGAACAGCCAGAGCGCTCAGTTGGGTGCAGGTGTTTCTGTGTTGTTGAACCGCACATCCATGTACTCTTTTGGCAGCCTCCTCCTGAGAAAGGCCTGGTGTCCCATCCCACCGCTCATCCTGAGAAGCTCCCCGGCTGCCCCAGCTGCATCCACACCAGCACCTGCCCGGTGCGCCTGTGGGCCCTTCTCTGCTGTCACTGGAGGTCCTCCTGGAGGACCTCTGATTTCAACTGGTTTGTAGCACATACATCCTGGGACCCACCTTGCTGCCAGATACAAAGGGGTCCTCTGGTGTGTGTGCGTGTGTGTGACTGTGCACACGTGGGAGGAGAAGATGGTAGACTGATACGTTGGCTGAAATAGGCTCAGATGCTGTGGGCTGTCAGCCTGCCTTGTGGCTCACCTAAGGGATGTTTGTGCTGGTGTCTGGCAGAGTGCAGAACTGAGAGAGAACACATGGCCATTTGTATTACAGCCTGCTCGAATGCGTGCACAGAACAGGATGGTTCCAAGACTGAGACATGTCTGGTGGTTGTCTCCTGGCATGTCTCCTCTGGCCGCTGCCTTGGAATCACCAGGGCTCGTCTTTGCCACAGGACAACACCAGTCAGGATAGAGGAGGGTGAGAGATCTGAGCTCTGTTAATAAGTTGTGAGTTTGAGAAGTAAAACCCTTTCTGATGGCAGTAAGGAGGAAGAAAATACTATGTTAGAGGTACCACAGGCTCTGGCAAAAACCTGAAATCTTCATTAGCTTTGATAATACCCCTGGGTGCGAGGCATGAGAGGGCTAAGATGGGGGAAACCTTTTCAGGAAACTGAGGATTTGGTATCCTTTACAGTTCCTGATCTGCAAAATATATTATTTTCCATTCCTCCATTTTCCTTTGCTCAGGAACTGCCCCTGTATAAGAGAGTAGGGATTTCATCTCAGCTGGAGCTTCAAGAAACCACATCTTCGCTTAAAGTTGCTCTCCCCCACAGCAAGGGCAAAGCAGCAAATAAACCTTTTCCTATCAGCAAATACCAACTGTATAGAGTGCTTCTGCCTATCAGCTGGCCAGCTTGGGTTATCCTGATGACACCCAACTCATGTTTTTCTATACTGCTTAGCCCATAGGATCAAATTAAGTCTGGGGACTTGAACCTTATATTCCATTATATAGGTGGCTCAGGCCAATGAGCAAACAGATCATGTAAGGCTGTAAATCCTCTAATCTTGAAGGCATTCAGCAAAAGATCATGTTTAATGGCTATCTTCTGACAGACTGTATAATTGCTAGAAGGACAGAGAGGTTTATTGTGCAGTACGTAGAAACGTTTGGGAGTAAGGATCAAAACATGAGATTAACTCCTCAGGCACTAAACCATCATAAAGATGACTCCAGTGCTAAGGCATTCCTCCATAATTTCTTTATTATAATGAAAAAAGAATAGAGCTATGTAATTTCTCCTCCAGTGCCTTACCACCATCCAGTGGTCCTGTTCTTCCTCCTATCCATTCACTTGCTGTTTCAGATTCTCTAGACTGATAAAAGGAGGACAAACATAAGTCATTCCCAGTACATCTTTGTCTTTTCCTTCTTAAGTCCCATGTAACATCATTAAGCAATATTTCAGGTCAACCCTCATCTCTCAGACAGCTTTTGAACTGTATGCATTCATGCTCAAGGTTTCCTCTGCTGCTTCTCAAGCTCACTTCCAGAGCCACCTCTTTCCAGTCATGGCAAATCATTGACTTGTCATCCTCAGATTCATTTTACCTTTTCAGATTTAACCAGTTTTCCTCTACCATACAAAAGGCCTATGAGATAAAATTTTTTTCCCTAGCTTTCTTCCAACCTGAACTTCTTTGCTGCATGTCCAGTCTGAAACAAATGTCACAACGCAACCAGACAGGAATAGATGAGAATGTGTTTTCTCTTTAATTCTTCTCTAGAACAAAGTTTTCCCCAGCCTAGTCTACTCGGATAGTATCAAAGGGCTAAAATAACTTGTTTGCCCTCTCAAAAAGGGGCCAGGCATCATGGAATAATAAATAATAATAAAATGAGATACCATATCATACACATAAAGATGAAAAAATAGTCATGAAAGACAGACATCAGTCTACATGTAATTACATACTCAGATAGGTACAACAGTTGACATGATACAAAAGCACTGCATTTGTTTCTATGATTCTAAAATATTTTGAAATAATAAAAAGGGACTTAGAGAATAAACTGAATGTGAATTTTAAACAAAATAGTGTTTTCTGATATAAATTACCTTATTGAATATAGCAACAAACAGCCATTTTTGAAGATATCTTGCTTTTCTTTTTTCTCCTTGAGTGATAAAATGAGTTAACAACTAGTGTAAACTACATGGTAGGGTATGAAGCTGTAACAATGTAGGAGGGCCTGGCCTTCAGGACTTGTGAAGTAGTTCATGCGTATGCTATGATGAAGTCCATGAAGAATTTTTCAGTGAAGTGAGACGTTGCTTAAAAAGCCTGAGAAGCACTTCTGTGGGGAATATTCCTGAAATGTTACTAATTTGTATTGTGAATTGTACTTTACTGTATATTTTGATTAGTACAATTTTTTACTTCTGAAAAGAAAGAAAACTGAGGAAGAGCTTTTTGACTCTCTTCTCACTTCTTCCACTATTTCTTACTTACTATCACTGGGGAAAAATTAGAACATTATTAAATAAAAGGAGCTTACAAATCTATGAGGGGGTGAAAGGGCAGAAGTAGGTAGTGTGTCCCCTGACACAGTTACAGATTTTCTTTTAGAAAAACATGAAATTATTTTTATTTTCCTTCAACCTTGCACATGGTTGAACACTACAAAGAAAAATAGATTCTTCATTTGTGTGACTTGCCCAGATTTACAGCTTTTGAAATGTTACAGATTATCTATCAAGAATTGAGGTGAGAAGCACTTTTGAGCTCTGTATATAATTACCCCTGTTGCACTCTGTAAACAAACCACACTTATATACAGGAAACCAGAGATGATAGAACCTACAAAGTTAAAAGTTCAGACATTTTGAAAAAGTTGAACAATTGGAAGTCTTCCATTACAGCATGCACCTTCATTCTAAATATTTCATTGCCAAAGCCTTTTCAGTTTTCAAATGCATCTAGGTTCTAGGAGTCTGGTGAAGGATGGAATGGACTGAAATCCATTTCCCTTTTTATTTCTCCTACCTCTACATCATTAGTGAAGACACAAAAAAAGAAAATACACACGTACTCTTTTCTTGTAAGACTTTAATGTATTAATGTTATAACAATTAACTTGTAAGTTAATAAGAGTGCTTAGTCTATAACATAAAATATTTATTTGGGTAGTTGCAAAATATTGGCTAGGAAATACATATTATCTGACATTCAGGCAGTGTTGCAAGATAAACATCAGCAACTGCATGTTGGAAACTTCTCTTCCAAACAATGTATTGCAGTGGAATACCAAAGGCTACCGAAATGCTTTATCAGGAAGGTAAAAGCAAGGCAGTTACTGGTGACAGGTACTTTGACAGTCATGCAGGGGGAAAATGAAAGGCAAAGAATAAGGACAGATAAAAGAAATTTGCCGAGATCTGAAAAGAAAGAGGAATATGGTTTCAGAAATTACGGCTAAGATGACAGAAGTTGAATGGAAAGACATTGCACATCTCTTCCTGGCAATACAGTTATTATGTATTTCTTAGATGAGAGCGGAATACATCTCCCCAACTCTGGGACTGATGTCTTAGATCAGTAGGCAAAAATGAAGAGAGAAAAATACAGAGCTAAAAGAGAAACAGAAATAAGGCAGGGCAAGAAAGTGAAGTAAAAATAGAATCAGTGAAACAAAAGAATGAAAAAAGAGCTAAAATAAATGAGAAAAATGTGAAGCTGTAAAGTTATGCAATATGAAAGGGAGAAAGTCCATGAAAGTACAGAGAAACTGAAAGAGATTTAAGAGAGGAGAACATAATCTTCTACTATGCAAATTACGTTCCTTTAGAATGAACAGATATTTAATTTTGATTGACTTAATCCTCCCCCACCGCTAGGAAAGCCCACGCTACTTTAGTTCCATCAGAAATAAACCCCTGCAATGATTTTTGAGAAAAAGAAACATCAAGTCAGAACATTTACTATGTACAATAAAAGTATAGTACTGTATTCAATATGTACCTACTCTAACAGTAGGAAGGAGTGCCTTCCTTTTGTAAAGAGAATTTAAGGAAATACATCTAACTGAGAGTAAGAAGGGGAATAATGGAGGGTGTTAACCTTTCTGAAGACAAAACTAATATTTCATTCTCATTCTTCCAAGTGTCAAAATTAAATGATCACTGTTTCAATAATAAGAATAATATTGAAATTGTATGAAACATGAAGCATCAACATCTAAAACAGTAGATACCAAAACATGCATTTAACATCTTTCATGTTACTGAATCCAAGACCAACTGAGAAGGACGAAGTAGAGCTTTAACCATTTCTAGCAAATACAATCAAGATGTGGAAGCTGGCCACTGTGCTAAGACTTTTTGTAGCTAGTTCAGTACATAGAAAAGAAGCAACATTTAACTAGATGGAGCACAGAACTAGTTGAACAAAGTCTTTTTTTTTCCACCACTCAGTAATGGTTTGATTTTGTTAGTTCTGCTGTCTCATTCTAACATTGCACAATATTTAATGTTTAGGTTTTAAAGTGATCTAATTTATATTCTGAAAGCTTTCATATATGCAATGAAACCAGGAACTTTGTTCACTTCTGGGAAGTGTTTTACTGCCTCTAAAGTATCCTCCTCTTTCCAGACAATAAACTGGCGATTATCATGATGTGATTGAGGCCAGCCTGTATTGCAGAAAGGCAGGTATCAATACTATCACACAATAATTAACAAGGTTACTTTTCGTATTATGATGTCATAGTTGTACACTGGAATGCTCATGTCTCAACACTTCAGTCTTTTTAAGTTTCTGTCCCTTTACTTCCATCTCAGTTAACTTAAACGTGTGATGGGAATAGTATTTCCCTTTTGTATACCTTATTCTTTTTGAAAGCAGGTCTGTGGGACAGAGCATCTTTTGCTTAGGATAAACAGTATCTTTGAGAAGAAGAGAACAATTTCTGTTGGGTGGTTTGACATAGCCATACCAGAAATACTAGATCTGATCATTGTTTCAACTTTTTCCATTGACATTTAATGTTTAATACTGTTTAATGTATAAAAGTATAAGAAATGAAAATCTAGATCGATCACTATACTAGGCAGAATATTTCTGAATGCTGGATAGCTTTTAGGAATGGCGTTGTGCTCCTATTCTTGTGAAACATCTCTTAATGTTGCACTGAATTAAACAGGAAAATTATGAAAGATCATGAGAGAATCACAGCCTCTGAAGGAAGATCAGTAGATTGGTATCATTCTTCCAAATAAGTTATTATTGCAGGCGAATCATTAGACAGGATTCTATACTTGTGAGCTGGCAAAGAAACTAATACAAGGAAATATGTATTGAAGCTGGAAAGCTGCTGTATTAGAAAAAGAGCACAAAAGTAAAGAAGTAAGCATTTCTGTGTCTTTGAAATAAAAGTTTTATGACTCTTTTAAAAGTGCAAAAATGTGAAGAATTGAAAGAATTCTCAGGTTAAGGGAAATTCCTAGTGAAATGGTAAGTGATAACAGAACAATATATTGATATTTCTGGTAGAAATAGCTATAATATACATCTAAAACTTTTCCAGTACAATGTTTCTAGTTCTATTCCATAGTAATCCAATCTGCTGTATAAAAGCAAAGTCAGACGGTGAAAGATGCTAATCTGATTCTGGAATAGTCATTTGTTAGATCAGGTCAGTGAATTCTGAGAAATGAATATGGGCTAATTAAAATGGAATTCTATATGCCTATAAAGTACACGGAGACCAGAGACAAAGGAATTACACAAGTGCTTCAAAAGTAGCATAAATGATCCCGATGTTGTGGTGAGTTCAATTTATTACTGGGTGGGCAGAAGGCTTCAAAACAGTTTTAATGCTTTTAGCTGTTAGGTTTTCTATTACTCTGGGACTCTCCTCACAGTGAGAAGCAAGTTCTTTTACTTTTATCTGTATCTTTTAGCCATATAACAGATGTAAAAAGGTTTTGGACACGTAATCCCAAATTGGACTGTCCTATTACTGTTCTCTTTCTATTGTTGAAGCTGATGTAGCTGTTAAGTCTCTGTTTGCTTTTGGAATATTGCAAAAGGTGTGAGGACTAGACTCATCTCAGTTTCCAATGTAGCTATGAACAATTCACCATTTTTACAGCTTAAATATTACAGCTATATTTAGCTTTCTCAAGAACAAACACAAAGAAAAGGAAATTATTTTTTCTACTGCTGAAAAAAATCAGGTTCATGCCATACAAAAAAAAAAACCAAAACTCAACAACTATTCCTGGCACTGCTGGTTTTTTTTTCTTCTTGGAAGAAAAACCGGTGTCATCGTCTACATCTATAAAATTACTAATCAATTCAGCTGCAAATGGAATTGTTCACATGAAGGTAAGAGAAAGATCTTCCTGAAAAGTTCTGGTAGGTGATAAGTAGATAGCTATGAGAACTTACTCCACAGTACTGCAGATAAAACAAACTACTTTTCACAATTTCCTAGAGTGGAGAATGAAATAAATGTATTTGCAAGAAAAGAAACTGCATCGAACCTTTTGTATTTTTAAATATAGTAATATCTAGTGGGACACAGTGGCAGACCAGTTTGCACACTGTGCAAGCAGTAATGTATGGCAGCCATCACAACAAGTACATAGCTAACACGGACATAAATGGGAAGAGGGAATACAAAGAGTCACAGAGGGATAAAATGATGTGCCAGAAACAGACACTAGGGTCTGTGGATGCCTGTTCCCTCTGCCGTATACCATTATACTTTCCCTATATGTTACATCTTAATGCTTGCTGTAACAGTTAATATATTGACCATACTGCAATAAGAAATGCATGTGTGATATACAGTTCAAGTGACATAAGAGACTTTTAGCCCTGTAGAATAAAAACTATTCTGTGTGATCATTATAATGCATCAATATCAAAAAAGCCAGAATGAAAAAGAAACACAACTGACTGCTCTCAGGAGCAGTCATATGCAGTTGTAATGGTTTTACATTAAATTGTCTATAACAATTGCCTGTCATTAAATTGTAACAATTTTGAGCTACTGGAAAAGAACACTGGATCACAGGGAGCCAGATTTTTATTATGGGGAAAAAAAAAGGGACTTATTCATTTAACTTTTCCATTGTTGGTGTTTTGTGTGTGAATGTGGCAAAAGGTGATCGTTCACAATAGCTGACGATAGCAACTCACAAAGGAGGGAGCTCCTTACCTATCGTCTACGTTTAAGTAGAACTCCAGAAAGAGGGTGGCAAGGGGTAATTTTTCCTCCTTAGAGCTGGGCACCCTGTGTGCGCCTCACACCTGAACAGCCTGCGGCACACGAGGCAGTTTCTGATCTTCCAGCAGGGAAGAGCAGACACTGAAGAAGTCATAAGAAACCAACCCAGAATAGGGATGTGCCTGTGTGTTTGCACACGTTTGTTTAAAAATAAATGTACTCTGTCCCTCACCATTTCCCTTCTGTTTGGTCTATGTTATTGGCTCTTATTTTGAGCTCTTTGAGCAAGAAGCTGGTTTCCAGATTTCAGTGATGTAATACAAAAATAGTTTCCATCATCTTTATTGTTGTTGTATCCACTAGATACTAGCGCCAGGTTCTCCCTACTCGTTTTTCTCCACTCACCCAGCAGCCTTTCTTCTTAGAATGGCAGCAGGACCCTGACCAGAGCATGTGTCATGCTTCTTGTAGAGCTGCCCGACCGTTGTCTGCTGTAGCATCCTGCACTTCAATATTCTACATACAACATCAGGCAACACTGAACGTGAAATATCATGACCAGCTTACAAGATATAAGGGCCATGTGCCTGCAACACTGTGCTTTTGAGGAGTAACCTAGATATAGTCCTCACTGTGCTGCGTGTAATATGGATAGATGCCTCGTCTGGCAGAAGCCCAGAAACTCGGAGGAGAAAGAATAGGAAATAGCATTGCCCTTCTTTTACAAGTGAGAACTGAGGCACAGTTTCTTCCCTACTAAGATCAAAATTAACATGTGTGGCATATAAAAGGAACAAATCTCAGAATGACAAGTCTGAGACACTTCTTTCTTGTGGGAATAGCTGGGATACATGAAATGGGCTTTTTAGGGAATTTGACTTCGTTCTTTCCCAGTAGTGAGGCCTCAAGGTGTTACATATTTTTGAATGATATCTGAAGTTCAGCTGATTTACCTTTAGTCTTTTTTTTTTTTTGAAAGTAGTAATTAAAGATTAAGCATTACAAAGCATATTTTTGGAAATGAATTTGACACAATGCTTTTGAAGTTCATGAATCTATTAAATTTTAGACACTCTCTAGTGTATTAGACAACAGTAGTGATTTACATTATTTTGAAGTTGCAACTAAGTTTTCAAGGGTAATGGATTTCATCTACAGAGATAAAAAGATAAAATTCCTTTATTTATGCCTGCTCGCTTCTTTTCCCCTATCATACACATTTAGCAAAATGGACAAGGCAGAAAGGATGCTGGTGTATTTTTATGTTAATTAATATATTTTAATTTCAAACAGCATTTTTGAAGCTCAGATAGCTTCTAAAAAAGTAGTTGCCAGGGCAAAACTAATGAATTTTAATTCTTTTCAGTATACTTCTGCTTTCATGAATTCTTTTTGTTATATTCTGATGCATGAGATTGCATCAGTAGGCATTCAGAACATGCAGCCCACAGATCTGATTTTTACAGAAATCCAGTTTAACTTTTTTAGCTACACAATAAAGCTTACCCCATACATGTGTTATTTTTAATGACCAATTGTATAATAGCTAGAAAAATACATACTTCAGGAAGGTAGATCAACTTTTTAAAGATTTTTTTTTATAACAAGTCACAAGTAAGCTTTCTGCACAAAGGATATATTTAACTGTTTTGTAGCTAAATCATGCTATTCTCAGACAAACTTTAAGGGTGTGCCACTGTTGTCCCAGAAGGGCTGCAGCTGATAACTTACACTTAACTGCAGGTACATTGCTTAAAGCAGGACAATGTATTCCTAAGGTAGATAAACCCTGGAACTTCATTGCATTAACCTTGCTCTTACACATCTTGAAGCACCTTAGAAAACTCTCAGCAGCTTGAGAAGGCAGTTTTAGCCCTAATGCTGTAAAACAGAAATCTCCATGAGCTCTACAGTGTGCGCACAGCTGCCGGAGCTGGGGCAGGTACTATATTTTAATGCTGATGGCGAGGTGCACAAGAAAGATATATTTTTTTAGTAGCATGGTCCTTGTATCACACTGCTCTATTGCCAGCCAATTTTAATAACTGTTCTTACAGCCCCACCAGGCACAGCTTCATTTGCACAGTACTGGCCTGCTGTAATGTACTTGTACATGCTGTCAATAATAGGGGACAATAAACCTGTTCTGTCCTTTATGTAACACTTGCTATTCTGGTAATATAAAGTCAATGATGTTCTTGAGATGGATTGTTGTAACTCATTAGAGCAGATCATGAAACGGTGCTTCTTTATACTTCCAAAATTGTAGTATACCTGAGTTCTTGTTTAAAGCAGCAGCTCTGGCCATAATTTACTGCATTGCAGTAAAATCAACAATGCAGCGTTCTGCAGAGCCAGTCAAATACTCATGGTTGATTTGCTAGCTGAACAGAGAAAGAAAAGATGTTCTGAAAATACCCCATTTTTAATTATGTTAGTATATTTCTTGTTTGTAACCCTCCAAAACCTTTGCCTCTTGGAACTGAAATGTTGTTCTAAAACCTGATGTGAAACCATTTCTTTCACAAGTAGAAAAAGTGAATGATATTGATTTTTCTCAAAATTCTTTTTATTGAGTGGAAGAAAAAAAGAACCATTTGAGAAGGTAGCGGTAACTCATAAGTAAGTTCCTGTTGAGCAGAAACCTAATTTAAAGTAAAAATGTTAGGTGTAAAAAAGAAAAGCATTCAATTCCAACTAAGCGATACTTCCCATAGTTAGAAAGTAAATAAAGAAATCTTCTGTAGTTAAGAATAAATACAAGCTTAGAATATTGCTGTCCAGCTATATAGGGCAGTAGTGATAATTTTTTTGATTAGAAAAAAATATATAGTTTAAGCTGTCAAGGCTTAGGAAATGGAGAAGTAGTCAACAGCCTTTTTTTCTGTGAAAACTTGTAAAATTATAAACATTTTTATTTTCTGTTTACAATTTACCAACCTAAACTTAGGTTCTGGTAAAACTATGTTTTTTTCTCCCAGATCTTCTTGAACTATCACTGTGATAGATTGTCATTTTGTTCAATAAAAGTTTGAATGTGGAATAAATGTAATTTCTTTCTAATTAAATGCTGATAAAATGAATTATTGTAGTATTGAAATAGTCTACGCTTGGCATAAGTTTGCATTTTGCTGTTCTTGTCTGAAACTTGAAGGTAAGAAAGATAGCTCATCATCTCAGTTTAGTGTCGGGGATCTTTGTAACTGATAAATATGTAAAATGAATGAAAATGAAGATGAACACATGCTTGTTTTAACTGAAGCATACACTCAATACAAGAAGTGATATGCTTTGGGGAGTGAACATTCATCTATACACCAAGATTTCATAAATTAGCCAAATAAGACTTAGGCTTCAGAATTTAATTAATGACCAAAAAATTAATTATCTGTGCAAAGATTGCACAAATTCATTAAAATTGTAGTCCGTTATGGCCAATGTGAGATTACCTTCTAGAATAAAAGACCTTTTATCCAGACTATCAGCACTGTAAATTTTGAAGTGAGACACACATGAATTTAGAAGTTTGAAATTCATGCAAAGAGAGGACCGAAAAATGTAAAATAGAAACCTTAGCCAAAGATATTTTATTTTAGGACAAAGTACATGAAATAACTTTTATCAGTTAACCACTGCATTATGTAGTAACTCTAAGTTATCGTTCTAGGTACCTGGGAATAACGAGACCTCTTACGTACCCTGTAAGGCAGAACGGGAAGTGTATGGCCAAAATGATCCTCTGCGTATGGCTCTTATCTGCCTCTATCACTATACCTCCGCTCTTTGGATGGTCCCAAAATGTAAACGATGAAAAGGTTTGTTTGATCAGTCAAGACTTTGGCTACACCATTTACTCCACGGCAGTTGCATTTTATATTCCAATGTCAGTGATGCTTTTCATGTACTATCAGATTTACAAAGCTGCCAAGAGGAGTGCTGCTAAACATAAGTTTGCTGGTTTTCCCCGGCCAGAAGAAACGGAAGGGATTTCTATGAACGGAGTTGTAAAACTGCACAAGGAATCTGAAGAATGTACTAATTTTTCACGACTCCTAAAGCATGACAAGAAAAACATTTCCATCTTTAAAAGAGAACAGAAAGCTGCCACTACGCTTGGGATTATTGTTGGGGCTTTCACTGTCTGCTGGCTGCCCTTCTTCCTCCTCTCAACCGCCAGGCCCTTCATCTGCGGTACAGTGTGCAGCTGTATCCCACTGTGGGTTGAGAGAACATTTCTATGGTTGGGTTATGCAAACTCTCTCATTAACCCTTTTATATATGCCTTCTTTAATCGGGACCTGAGGACAACTTACCGCAACCTCTTGCAATGCAGATATAGGAATATCAACCGGAAACTCTCAGCTGCAGGGATGCATGAGGCTCTGAAGCTTGCAGAAAAGCCAGAATTTGTTCTGTAAGGTCCCCCATCCTTTACTATGATAATTTGTTGGTTTATCACATTAGCTTTTTCCCCATAGATCGAAAAGAAGAGTTATGGGAAGAAGCAGGCTTCTTGAGCACTGTTAATGCAGTCATCAAGAAACTGAAAGGTAACAAGGTTAATTCTTGTACAGCCCACCAGTCCTAGCAAGCCTGGAGAAAAAAAGACCATCTAAAGAATTGGGGTGTAACAGGAATACCAGAAAGGGGGAGGGTAAAAGGTGGTGCAGGATGTTTGAGTTCCTAGTGAGAAAAGAGCAAAGTTGGCCTAACCTATTGTTTGGCCTTTGGCCCCAAACAACTTTTAATACGTCTGAATGTTGGATGCATCTTGTATCCTAGAGATTTTTTTGCTGCAATAAAGACCTGAGAATGGTGAAAAGATCGGTATGATTCATTGCTTTCCACTTTGTTGTTAAAAAAATAAACCATTTAAGAAGCTGGATCAAATAACTTATATCGCTTAGAAATACTCTTTATTATAAAAAAAAGTATGTCCATTAAACATTAATTCACTGGATTGCCTAGAAATAAACTACTTTATGCAATTTAATTGTTGCCTTTGCACAGCAACTATGGCACTGAAAGAATATGTTACACTTTCAATGTGAATATAAGAATTTGAGCAAAGTCACACGGACCAACATCTACTGCTGCATAGTCATGCAGCACAATTAGCTGCAGTGCTGCTATGCTAATTACACCAGGTAAAGATCGTGTCCTATATTTCTAACATAACATATATGTCTTATTAGAGTTTATTTTAGGAGCTGTCTGGTCTTTGTCTATGTTTTCTTTCTTTAATTCTCTTGGCTATATTGGTTGAGCCCTTCTCTATTCTAGGTGAACACTATCTATGCTCAAGTTGTTTCTGTTGATATATGGATACTCCTTGTTCCACTCCAGTAGTTCCTTTATTGTCTATTTGAAAGCTCTTCTGTGTTCTTGATATTTCTTTTTTTTTTTTCTGAAGTCAGTAAGGAAAAAATAAACGTAAAATTTTATTATTTTCTTCACTATGATGATAGGGCTTTGAGCAACCTGGTCTAGTGGAAGGTATCCCTGCCCATGACAGGGGAGTTGGAAATAGGTGATCTTTAAGGTCCCTTCCAACCCAAACCGTTCTATGATTCTGTGATACATTCAGAGACATCTGGACTTTATCCTTAGAAGCTGATTTTGGTCATCACTTCCGCTTAAAATGATTTAAAGCCTTATCTTGTGTAAGAATCAAGATAATTTACTGTTTCTAGTTCTAGTTGTTTCCCACACCACTGCAGCTCATCCAAGTGTGTGATTCTATTTCTCCTGACTTTGGTAACAGACCTCTTCCCTCAGTGCAGCAGGGCTAAATATTATAATAACATTTGTATTTAAAATTTCATAACAATAAATGCATTAATCATATTACTATATTATTCATAATGTATTAATATAAAATGCACTGATTATGTAATATATTACTATAGATAACCTAAAATAATAGTAAACTTAAAACAATTCGTAAGAACAAGATGCTTTTTCTGGGCCAAGTTTGCACTGCACACCATGTTCCAGATGAAGCACAGGGTATGTTAGTGAGCAAAAACTGTTTCAGAGCTTGATCTACTTTTTCAGATATCAGGATATTGATGAGAGACAACATGTTCATTATCAAATTGCCTCAGCAGCAAATCACACTTTAGGCTAACTTCTGTCCCCACTTTCTCAAATAGGAAGCCAAAACGACTTCAATGAATTCAGTGACATTAATTTGAACTAAATAGTGAGAAGTTTGTGCCAGATCCCTTGTTCAAAGCGTACTGTGACTGTTGCAAACACTTGGGCGTCTAAGTGGCAGATACATGAGTCCTGGATCTGTGCACTGAGCTAGGTGTACTGAAACAAGCTTAAACCATTTTTGATGGATTTATACACTAGGATATATACAGTACAAAGTACATTTTGGTCTCATTTTTAGAGAAGGATCATAGTTTTGCAATAGTAAGAGATAGGTTATATTCCAGCTTCAAGGAAGTTTTCTAAAGAAGTTTCAAATTTGTTTGGAACAGTTCAATTTCTTTTAAGTATTCCAAAAGTATTATGTGCAGAAGGACGAGAAGAGATTTTGGCCCAGAATATCCACAAGCTCTGTAGTACAGAGCAGAGCTGATGTTAATTCAAACATATTTTCCATATTCTGCCTGAAAGTAATGATGTTTCTGACTGTGTTACCTATCAGAGTAGCTTTTTTTTTGTTTTTTTTTTTTGAGTTCTAGCATAAGGGAGGAGTTCATAGGTCTGCTGTAATTTTTTTTTTCCCCTATGAGAGCATATATAGAACAACATACAAATAAAAGTATCTGTGAAGATTCCAAGTGGAATTATAAAACTCTGAAGTTGATTTCAGAGTTCTGGGAAGAAGTTTCAGCTCTTTTTATTCTGCAGAAAAGTCTGAGAAGTTGTGTTTCCTCCAAATAAGACTACTTTTTTTTTTCTTAAAATGAAATATATGTCTTATGAATTAGAAATTTACATTTGCTTAACTGTCACTAAAGGTAATTGCTTTCCTCAGGGAAAGCATCCTGCAGGACTCCATGTCTCCTCTACCATCTGCTTCAGGTAATGAGAGCCCAGGAAAGAACAAGAGTTGTTATGGGCTGTGTGTCAATCCTTGAAGTTTTTGGAGATAAAGTTCCCCCTTCCATCTCTGGATATGTTTAGAAAGAAAATAAAAGAAAAAAAAAAACAAGTTTCTTCATACAGCCAAAACAAAACACAGCTATGTGGCAAATGGAAGCTGTTGTTGGATGGAGCTGTATTTGAGGGAAAAAGGAAAGAAGTTGAGAAGTTTAGAAGAATGTCCCATTACCCAAGCACATGGGCAACATGGCTTTGAGGAGAAAGCTTTCAGACAGAATTCTAGCTGAAAGAGGCTTTGAGAAGAAGCATAAGAAAATGATTACTTGGGTTCAAGGATAGGACTTTTTGATTTTTTAAAAGATAAATGAATAGAACTGCATCAAAACACTGAACTGCAGCAGTAGTATTTTTTTAAAATTAGATAATTCACTACTCATCTGACAAAGAGGTAACATTAATGGGTGAATGAGACGTCTACATCATCACGTGGCAGCCTGGTATGTGCTGGTACCAAACTCTAGAAGAGATTGCATGCTTGGTCTGTGAGCCCTTTCCTATGTTTCTAGAAGAAAGCGAGGGAGGCAAATCAAATAGGCGTGGTTGTGAGAAAAATAGTGATATAAAACTACCAGAACAAGTCAGAGCACAGGGAGGCCAGCATAACACTAACTGAATGAAGACAGAAAAAGAGAAAGGCGATATATGGGAAGCAAGACATGGAAACAGTTCTAAATTTCAGACTTGTGATTGGATAGTTACTTTCAGAAAAACATGCAAAATTTAGAGGCAACAAGGGCACACATCCAAGATTTTGAGGATAAAGACACAAACCTTTCTAAAATATGCTTGTACAATCCCAGTGAAAAAACTGTTGCTACCTTACTGCTTAAAGTGTAGTTGGCTCTGCAGGTTAGCACTGCTCTGGCTTTAGCTAAACTGTATTCTTTAAAAAAAAAAAAAAAATTTAATACCAGCATGAAGTGAATCCCAATTTTAGGTAAGATCTGTTGAGACATAAAAGCAATGAAATCTAAACCAATATTTCTTTTTAAGAAATAATGCATGTTGTTTAAATCCACAAACTGCAGTCACAGAAGGATGTGGACAACAGTGAAAGTTAACTCTGTAACTCCACTCCTGGCAGGTTTGGAAGTTTTCAGCTCTTTCATCATGAAGTCACAGTGTGAGATGTGAGAAGTTCCACTTCAACTACAGAGCGTGAAAGACTTGACATATTGGACAATCTTAGGTTTTCTACGAAGGCAGCTGTCACTTTGTGTAATATTGGAGTGTTTGAAAGGAAAGTTTGGAGCGGGTCCTTAGACGCACAGAACAGCACAGTCCAGAAAACAAGAAAGCCTGGAAAAAGCTGTCCTAGAGAGTAGGAACCCTTTTACTTCCTCTATATCTCTCAAGTGGGAATTTACTTCTCCTGATTCAGGAGGGAGGGAAGGAGTCACCACAATGCGTTTTCAGGTTAGGGCTTTTTTGGCTTTTCTGGTTGGTGTTTCTGGGGAAATGTAGCTGGCTATGCTGCCTCAGGGGGTGATCACTCAGTGACACCATGCCTGAACACTGGGAAAAACAAGGTGATACTGGGAAATGCTCAGAGTGATTACCATAGTCCGTGCTAGGAGCTGAAGAAATCAGGAAGCAGCTGTGCAGCTGCTGACAGCATCTAGACCACCTCTTCATCCAGCACAAGCAGCCAGTCACAGTCTGCAGCGTGAGATCTTCAATTGCTGCCAGAATTATCTAGACACCAACACAGGGAGGTCCAGTCAGACCTTCTCCACTTTATATGTCTCTTTGTTCACCTCTAAAGCATATGTGAAGATACTCAAGAGCAGCCACTGAGTCAGTCCCTAAAAGGAGTTGTAGTCATAGCTGTGCCAGAGATCCTTCCCTGAGCCCACCTTTCAGTGTCACAAACACATTTTACCCAAGATAAACATCAGCTGTGGCCAAAATAAAAGCCAAAGAGTAAAGCTCTGAAAGGGGCACAAAAACAAATTACCCTTACCTAGCTCGTTATATGGTATTAGCAATACCCTATCTATAATTTATCCATAAAAGTAACACTAGCTCTCAAGGGATCCCAGGTGAGGGGGTCCTGGATGAGCCTCCTTTACGTGAAACAGTCTTTCCATAGCATGCCTCATGCCAGTAATATAGCAGCCATTGTACTGGTTATACTTTACCAGGAGGTCCCTTGCATCCTTCTAGTCTGATCCTGCTCAAATGCACCATGTTCATGTCCTTTTTCCTCAATAAACACTGCACAAAGCAGCTTACAGTAAAGGCTTTAGATGAACAGGCTTAGACTGAAAAATTCTCTTCAGCGTAGACAATGCCCTTTGGAGCAGAAGTTGAGATAACGGTTTTGCAAAGAGTTTGGATTGGCTAGTTTTGCAACCTTCCCTGCCCATCCTGCACCCTCCCATCTTTTTTTCTTTCTATTGAGCTAATTACCCAGAGTCAAATCAGTAAGTTTTGCTCTGAGGTTCTCAAGTGTCA